GCCACAATCTCCTCTTTTTACGTTTTGTCCCATAGAGTATCCTTTTTTGCAATTTTCTACAAAGAGTAAAAAGATTTGTTAACATCTGTCAAATTATTAATCTTAAGTCGATCTGGTCGAGTCGTCTTGTCATCGAATCTAAGACAGTTGTGAATAAATTTTAATCTTCGCATTGATATCGATTAAGTCTAAATAATTCAATTACCCTACCATCTGTTGTCCATAAGTCTTTTAAATTTATTTGATTACTGCGGTGTCTCTATCTATACAGCCCTTAAAATCCATCCTTGGATATAGACCTCCTCCTCCTTCTTCCGTGCCTCTCTATCTTGGGCAATTTGCATCCATTTTGACCCGGCGTGTTTCTTCAGGTCATCTGACCATCGCATTTGTGGCCTTCCCCTTTTACGTTTGTGATTCCATGGTCTCCAATGTATAATTGTTTTAGTCCATCTTTCATCTTTCTGCCTTAGGGTGTGTCCGGCGAACTTCCATTTAAGCTTTGCTACTTGGGTTGAGACATCTTTCACTTTTGTTTTATTACGGATCCATTCGTTTCTTTTTTTGTCTGATAGTTTAATGTTCAGCATTTGTCTTTCCATGGATCTTTTTGTCTTTGCTATTTTTTCCATATTTTCCTTTGTAAACGTCCATGTCTGAGAGCCATATGTGAGGACAGGGAGTATACATTGATTGAAGACTCTCGTTTTTAGGTATTGGGGGTATTTTGAATTCTTTAGAATATAAGACAGTTTTCCGAATGATGCCCAGGCCAATCTTATTCTTCTCTTTATTTCTTCGGTCTGATTTTCTTTATTTAATTTAGTGATTTGGCCTAGATATATATATATATATACTCTTTTACTTGTTCTATTTTTGTTTGTGCCACTGTAATCATAAGTTCTTCTGGTTGATTAGTCATGGTTTTTGTTTTACTATAATTCATCTTGAGTCCAATACTGCGGTGTAAGCCAACTAAATACAAAAGGTCCAAAAATGATTTTAGATCTATTTTGTCAGTTTATTTAGCATCTCTTTCTCTGGAATATCTACTTAAAATAAAGTCTTTATATATATTTGTATAGTTTAAAATTAAATCTAAAAGTTCTCCTGACACGAAACAGCTCCAGCATTTACATCCAGTTTTTACATTTTTTGCAGTATTTCTTACTGGAAGCAATTGACACAGAATCTTTTGTTTTTGTTGAATAATTTTATTTCCGTAAACTGGCTTTTTTCCCCACTTTGTTACTTTGTATTTTCCGAAAAAATACTCCCCGTTTTCATATAAATTCTCTTCGCTCTTCTCACTAGAAATGTCTTCTTCGCTCTCCGAGTTTTCTGATAGCTCTTCGACCTAATCGATTTTGTCCACGCCACTTTCGTCATCAAACTCATCTCTTTCATTCCCATTGTCAGAATTGAGAAAAATACTCTAAAGCTCTTTAACATCCTTTGGATTATCCAACTTATATACCTTTTCTGATATTCTGAATATAATATAGATCACACAACTAAATAAACACGAAAAAATATAGGTTCGATCTGAGAGGTCGTGGTTTCTATCAGATACAACTCAACCTCTAGAAATTACCTGAAAGCTAGACAGTGTCGTAGAATTATATGCCCTTTATATAAAATATTTTTAATGTATTTCTCAGATCAACTGCGACTTCTGCAGGGTTAAATCGTACTATAAGTTTAAAAAAACAGTCAAAGAAAAGCAGATAGAAAACGAGGAAAATTTGCTAATGTTAGAAAATAAACTAATCTAATTTATACTTTTTTATTTTTTATTTAATTTTGTAGCATTTCATAATTTTAGGCAAAAGAAAATATGTCAACATCACATAAAAACAATGTTTAATTATTAGTCAACAATAAATTTTTATTTTATTATTCGTACTTTTATTTTTGAATTTTATTAAATTTCTATGCGTTAAATTATGTATTTTAACCAACTGTTTATTGGAATGTTAATAAATATAATACTATCGCCTTTATGTCCAAAATATATTTTATGTTTTTCTTGGAAATTCATAACACACAGGAAATATTTAACAAATTCATTACTTTCAGTAAATACAATAATACGTTAGTAAGTGTTAAATTCTGCTTCACAAGTGACTGAAACCTCAATACTCCGGGAGTATTGGATTTTAGGAAGTGTAAGACTTCCAAATTCCAGAAGAACTGGAAGAGAGGTGATGAAAATACTAAAAATATAGGGCTAAGCTCAGAGGAACAAAGTTAAATGGCCAAAGAGACACTAAATCTCAAGTGAGTGTTCGGGCTAGCTTCAATGCACTGGATTGTGACTTTAAAGATATAAACAGATAGCAAGGATACTGAGCTAATGAGACAAGAAACGAAATGAGACCTGGTAATATCAAATATGATACAACTAAAGAAGGTCACTGGGAATAAATTTATAGAAAGAGAACAATAAGAAGAGAAAAAGAAGGGCGCCAACTCAACGATAGTTGAGATTTTGAAGTAACAAAGGACAGGAAACAAATGATACTAGAGGTAATAACCTGAAATACAAAATATTAAATACCAATCTTGTCTTGTTATATTGTATACTGGTTAGTAGAACTGAAATAAAACTCAAAATAGTAACAATAAATATATTTATAAAAATGAGTATATCGATATATATGTAGTAACAATTTACATATAATGCAAAAACTAAATAACAGTGGTAGTGGGTGTGTAAAGATACAATAGGACCAAATAGCCCCTCAACAAGCGAATAGTCACTACCACTGGCCAAATAAAGTGTGAAATATAAGTAAATAACAAGAATAGTCCGTATGGTGGCCAAGGTCTTAACACTAAAGGTTAGTAATTTAAATTTAAATAGTTCTACTAAAATGAGATACTAATTACAATATTGTAAAGATATCAAAAGTGATAAATCTGTTACAATTGTATTAAATATATTACATTCAAAAGTGAATCTTCAATACTTCTTATATAATGATTTAAAAAAAACCACATGAAATTTATTTCCCTCCCCCAAAATTAAATTGTATTATATCAAATATATTGTATTAAAAAAAATATTATAGCAAAAGTGAGTTTTCAATACTCTTTATATAATGTTTAAAAAAAAACCACGTGAAATTTATTTCCCTCCCCAATATATCAAAGTTGTATTATCTCAAAATATATTGTATTATAAAATATTATATCAAAAAAAGTGAGTTTGGTCAGTACTCTTGAAATCCTAATTAAAATAAAACCTCATAAAACATGAAAGGTATTTTCCCTCTCCCAATAATATCAAAATTATATTTTATCAAAATGTAGTCACTTGATCATATGCATATGAAAAGTTAACAAAACAGACAGTAACAAAAAAATTACACAGTCAAACAACTTATCTTTACAGCACTATAAGTCCATAGGAAAAACTCCTCTTGGCACGGCTAAATCAGTTTGTTGCTGTAAAGGACAAATCCCAGGTGAGTCTGGGCATAAAACCAGTCACTGGTCTATCTGGATTGACGGCAAAATCCAGGAGAGTTGCTAACCATTTAAGAAATTTTGTTACTAGTCCTTGAGGGAATATTCTTAAGAGAATATCCTTAAGTGAAATGACGGAATCTAAAAGAATTATCAGATTTAATTACTATTTGATTTAATACGTGTAGCAGCATAGATTGACTGCACCAAAACATCAAAACATTAGGTTATGTCAACATGTCAAAATTTCCGAAGTTACTTCCGTAGACATGACAGGCTTGCGCCATGAAATGAACGTGCGCAGAATACAGAAGGCTGTACCACATTTGTAGAACCTTTTATATTCCACCAAAAAAAGTTAGTTACAAAGGGAACCAAAAAAAACTTAATGATAACGACATGGACTAAAACAAACTTTAAGTTTAACTATATAAAAAATGACCTTCTGTTCTTTGAAAGTAAATCAAGGAAATTTTATATTTAAATTATTTCGGAACTCAAAAATAAATCTCTAAAGAAATACTAAACTGCAAGGATAAATTTGATTGTATGATAAAGAGATAATACGTATGAAATGATTTACTTACATGGAGCCGCAGCACGCCAAAAAATCTTCCTTTTTATGTGTTTCTCTTATAAATTACTCTTGATTTTAAAAATTAATTATTACTATTATTATTATTTTATTCTTCCCCCAGATTATCTTCCTTACTCCAATTCCGTCACTTTGAAGGTGAAAAAATTTCACCGGTTGGCGTGTCTTACTAGTGAGTCTCTTGACCAAAACTGACCGCTTTTCTACCGCATAGAATCGATCAATCCTTTCAAAGCGCTCCCAGCGCGTGAGTGGAGAAATGTCGATTTAAAAATCGATCGCTGGCGGAACACAAGAAGTTTCTTGAGGGGTTAATCAGTAGCGTAAACGCTACATGACGTTACACTGTGTGAGTAAGATGCATACAAAAACTTAGAGGTTTTCCACTGTTTTTACCATCACATCCTGGACTATTTATCCAACATAATATTTGTGTAACTGTTAAAACTATTTCAAATTTTTTTTGAGGATGAAAATTTCATATTTCATGTAATTTTCTTCAAACGTTCACCTTTCTTTTTTTACTTCTATAAAAGAGAGCGTCAGCAACCGAAACTAAAATCGTTGAAATAATAAGGTAATAATAAGAAATAATCTTGCATTTGAAAAAATTTAAATATTTTTTTGTATAGCAATGAAATGTTTTTTACAAAAATGTCTAAAATTTGAGCAAATATATCCATGTATCCATGTTTGTTCTAAACACTTTGACTGCTCTGCCAAAATATGTAAACCATCAAACTGTACATTACCTGTCCCCCGGGACCGGTGGCTTCGCAAGGACACAATGCAATACCAACTATCGGGAACCGATAATGATGTAAAATGTTTTATATGTATGACAACTAAATGTTAGATGTTTTATTTTTATGACAACTGAATTGCGTCTATTGCGATAACCACAAAGAAAATGCGAAAATTAAAACTTGTCAATAAATGTAAAGTAAACTTTAATAATTATAACAGAGTATAAATTAATAATGTTTGTTTACAATGATAATAGTACAACATTAAAAACAAAATAAGACGATGTATGTCTGAATAATATTATTCACTCTATTGTGTAAATCTGCCAGCAAAAAGAATTAGTCCATTACTTTCCTTAAGGATAAAGATAAAGGGGTGATCAGCATTAAATTCGTAGTAAAAATCAACAATATCCAATGGCGCATTAAGGGGACCACCTAAAAATATAATGCAAAAATTATGGCCTTTAAATAAAATATAAGATCAAGTTTACTTAAAGCAATACGTTGGTCGCTTGTTTAAAATGGTAATAACTTAAAAAAATAAATAGTTGTGAACAATTGTTAGTAAAATAAAAAATATGACTTCTATTTGTCAATAGAAAGACAACGGTATTTATTATGGATAATTTGACTAAATTATTTCGCTTAAAATTGAACAAATTTTGTTTTTCTGTTACTTGATAACAAATTCTTCAAATAATTTAATGTTAACTGACTCTTTTATATTGACAATTTAGACATACATTAAAATGATATTGCCAATATTGTTGAGCTGCGTTCCTGGGACGACTTTACTTGTAAGATAGTCCATTCGTTTACATGAAATAAACTTTAACTTGAGAATATCCCTCAGAAAAAAAGATAGTATGTAATTCATCAAACAAACACATGCCATGACAACAGTAAACTTTTCCTGTTAGTGTGTTAGTGATTCCATAGTCAATTATAAGGTAAAAACCAGGAAAACACCTCATAATACTATGCCGATATGGTAAGTATTTGGTTGACTCTCAATAACCACCAAATTATGATTTAATATGTTTGTTATCTACACATAAATGATGTATCCTCTATGTTACTGACTTCCTAAAACTTGTATTTTCCTTTTAATAACTTCCTCTTTTAATATGGGTAACCAGATCCTACGACATTCTGCCGAGGAATTTGTGACACAATAGGTCTCATTTAGCATAATTAGAGCCGCTTCTTTGATTTTTCTCTTTTTACCATCCGTTTCTTTTAGGACTATATTTAAATCATTCTATTAAACACTATGTACATTATCCCATGTGTGTTTACAGATTTAAGATCTATCAAATTCTCCATTTTTAATACAAGATTCTTCTTCTTGTAGTTCCTTCTCCTATCGGAGGTTGGCTATCATCACAGCTATCCGTACCTTATTGGGGGCTGCTCTTAAAAGATCTACTCAGCTGCAACTATACCACTCTATTAGGTTTCTCAGCCAGGAAATTTTTCGTCTTACTATGGATCTTTTATCTCTGATTTTACCTTGCTTTATAAGCCTTAATATCTCATATTTCGCACCTCTGGTAATGTGGCCTAAATATTCCAGCTTTCTTGTTTTGATGTGCTTTATGACCTCACAATCCTTTTGTAGCCTTCTTAACACTTCTGCATTTGTAACTCGTTGGGTCCATGGTATTTTCAAAATCCTTCTATAGCACGACATCTCAAATGATTCAAACTTCTTTATATTATCCGCTTTTAGCGTCCAGTTTTCGATTCCATACAACAAAGTTAAGAACACGTAGCACCTTAAGGCTCTTATTTTCAGATCCAGAGGAAGGTCTCGATGGACAAACATAAATGCTTGTCTTTCAATTTCAATGCGTGTCCCTGTTTCTCTACCTTGGTCATTGCTTTTATTTACCCAGGTTTCCAGATATTTGTAGGTATTCACTCTTTCTACCCGTTTCCCTCGATATCTAGCCTTCCTACTGTATGTTGCTTAGAAATAATCATGAACTTGGTTTTATTAACGTTCATTTGTAGTCCATATTTGATACTGACTTGATGTAATATATTTACTAAGCGTTGCAATACTTCGAGACAATCTGCAAAAACAGCGGTGTTATCTGCCAATATTTTGTTGTTTAAGAGTTATGTTCACTTATTCTAACATTTATTGGCCTTGATGTTTCACCTAAATGATACTGATCGCATTCACAAGGTATTTTATAAACATAATTTTTTGTCCTTTTTTGCTCATTGTTAGTTTTGGTTTTAGACAAAATAGATCTTAATGTGTTTATTGTTTTAAATGTTGTTGAAATGTTAAATAAATTTCCTATCCTTTTAGGTTTTTCTGATAATTGTTTTATGTATGGTATTGTTATTGTCCTATAATCATTTTTTAATGAAACAGATGTTAACAAATGTTTTTCCAACAAGAACGAATTTTCGTTAGAACAAGCAGTTTTGGCTCTATCGCATAACGATTTAATGATTCCCTTTTTAATATCAATATTGTGATATGATTTAAAATTTAAATACATGTTGGTGTGTGTTATATTGTTCTTAGATATTAAAACATCCAGAAAAGGAAATGTGTTATTATATTCATTTTCCGTGGTAAATGCTATTGTTTCTTCTTTATCGTTTATATCATTATGTCTATAATAAACTGATGATTAGGTATAATATTGTTGTTTTGTATTTCAATAATCAGTCTACTTGCACTGACTTTCCTGCGACTTTATACATAATTGGTAATAGGCTCGTGGGTCGGTAGAATGTAACTTCATGTGACCTAATGTAAACCAGGTTTTCCTGGTTTTGGAATCGTAATGATTTCTGCTAACTTTCTTTTTACAGGAAAGTAGCCAGTTTTTAGTATCGAGTTTATGATTTGGGTTAGATTTATTTTTCCTTTTCTGAGTAGAATATTTAATATGTTGGCCTATATCAGATCATGTCTAGGCGACTTCGTTTTATTGAGGTTTTTTATTAGACTTTTTACTTTTTTTAATTTTGTTTTGTGACCGCTTTAGGTTATTTGTGGTCTTTCATAATGAGTAATTACTGTATGGGTTAAGTGTTAGATTTTTTATATAATGTTAGCGTTGATATGTTGTTGAAGTAATTATTTTATTTCTGTACACATTCTGTTTAATTTGGTCTTGTCTTGAAGTGAACGAGTTTGATGACCCTACTTTCTTTGGTAGAATGTAGAATGTAGAAAATGGGGCGGCCAATAGAGCCTGATACACTGCGACCTTTGCAGATCTATTGTGTTCCCCCCTTATTTTAAAGCACTTCATCTAGCTTGGTCCTCTTAATGAGACTCAACAGCCTTGATAGTGGCCTTTTCATGTAGCCTGGTGCTTCCGGTTTTTCCTCTCCGAGTTCTAGAAACCGCATTCGTGCGAGACCTTCGCAATGGCACAGAACGTGTAGAGCGGTTTCCTCTTCTTCCAGACAGAAACGACAGGTGTCCTCTTCTGTCAGGCCTATGAGACTCAAGTGTCTATTGAGTCTACAGTGCCCAGTGAGCAGACCCACTATCATTCTGACAGTCCTGCGTCTGTGCGAAAGTAAGTCTGCTGTAAATTTAGCCGAATGTTCTTTGATGAACTGTTTGGCCTGCCTCTGTCCTGGTGAGTTGTTCCACCACTCAAGAGACTTCTGTTGCACCCATTTGTGTATGGCTGCCCTTTTTATCGTATTTGCGATTCCAAAGAAGGGTTCCGGACCAACCAGTGGCGTAGATGCGCCTTCTCGGGCCAATTCGTCGGCCTTCTCGTTGCCACGATGGCCCTTATGTCCCGGCACCCAGGCAAGTGTCAACCTGTTTCGACTTCCTACCTGAGAGAGGACATCCAAACAGTTCCATACCAGCCATGAGTCGACCTGTACCGAACTGAGAGCCTTTAGAGCCGCTTGACTATCCGAATAGATGACGATGGAGTCGTTATCTACATTTCGGCCGATTAGTTCCATAGCGCACCTGTGTATAGCAGCTAATTCGGCTTGAAATACGGTCGCGTATGTTCCTAGACATACCCGGACTTCCGTCCTTGGTTTTATGCCATATATTCCAGCCCCCGTACCTGTATCCGTTTTGGAGCCGTCCGTATACCATATTGAGTTTGCTGTTAGCGGCGGACCAGTTTCCCAGTCCTCTCTTTTTGGTATTGTAATTTGAAAATTTTTGTTAAAACTATACCTCGTAACCATTCGCTCTACAGGCATTCCTAGAACGGGGTCTGCCTTTATGTCCTGGTATAGCCTTAAGTTATCAGCTCCCTGCATCATACTTATTGGAGCTTGGCCTTGGATCAACCGATGTACTGTTGATCTGGCTTCACTCTGTATGTATATATGTAGAGGTGGTAGGTTTAGCAGAACTTCTAGCGCGTCCGTCCGTTGGGCTGTTCTCATGGCTCCTGTAACACTCAAGCATGCAAGCCTTTGTGTGCTACTGAGCAATCGAATCGCCCCGGACTGTTGCGTTTTGTTCCACCACGCCACTGAACCATAAGTTATCATGGGCCTTATAACCCTTGTGTATAACCAGAGGTTCATTTTAGGATTTAACCCTCAATTCTTACCACACATTCGTCTACATGTATTCAGGGCCATAGTGGCCTTCTGTGTGACTTTCTGAATGTGTGCATTCCATGTCAGCCTCTGGTCGAATATTACACCTAAGTACTTGGCCTGACTTGTGAATGGGATTTCTACTCCCTTGAGCGCTAGTGGTTGTAAGCCTTGCAGTGCTCTTTTCCTGGTGAAGGGAACAACAGATGTTTTTTTAGGGTTAACCATCCTCAGAGCGACTTGAAGTCTCTCCGAAATTATTTTAGTAAAGCGTCCTCGGACTACAATTACCAAATCGTCCGCATAACCCAGGCAGTAAAAACCCTCCTTGGACAGTGTATTAAGTAGGTCGTCCATAAGCGTAGCCCACAGTAATGGGGATAAAACTCCTCCTTGTGGGCAGCCGCTTCCTGCCTTCGCTTCAATAGTGGCTTCACCTAACGAGGACACAATGATCCTGTTTGTTAAGGTCGCCTTTGTCCACTCGCATATGAAGGCAGGAACTCCTCTCCTTTTAAGCGCGTTCGTTACAGACTCGAAGGAGACGTTATTAAACGCTCCCTCCACGTCCAGAAACGTCGCCACCGCTATCTCCTTGTCATCTAGCGACTTTGAGAGCAGTCTGTTAAGATCATCCAGCGCCAAGTCAGTTGACTTTCCTGGCTGGTATGCATATTGGCGATCGCTAAGTGGATTCTCCATCAGCACTTCGTCCCTAATATACCTGTCTATCAATCTTTCCAACGTTTTTGCTAGGAAAGAGGATAGACTTATTGGTCTGTATGACTTGGGGGTCTGGTCCATTACCCTACCAACCTTGGGGACGTACGTTCCAAAAAAAAAAAAAAAATAAGGTCGTATTAACTGTTTCA